CGTTTTATGACATTAGCGCCTCATTCGTCTCTTGGTGTAATCCTCATGTTATACATACTTTGACAGGGTACAATCGAGTAACCTTTGCTGTGTTCTCTCTTTACTAGAGTAGCTTGATGACGGCATCTAGGCCACTGAGATTGTTTTATAAGTTTTTAGAGACTTCATTCTCGTTTATACCTCTTTGAGAAACAGTGATTTGCGGCAAGATGCGTAATCTTATGTATAAAGCTAATGTCTGTTCGTCTGTATGTATGTATGTGTGTATGTTTGATGTTCGTATGTAAGTAAAGGCTACTACATGATGACGGCGCAGAAGCACTATTAGTTGAGCGGGCGCGAAAGCGGCCTCGCGTATCCTTACCGTTGTAAATCCTACGCCTCATGCGCTTTGCGGCTAACAAACCCACGTTCGCGCCCAAAGATATTGCGCCCTCGTCATGCAGCAGCGTATATATTTCGAAAAGAAATTTTTTATTTTTGAACCAACCCGGACCAATACCTACTGTTTCATTCTAAACAACTCTCTTGTAATGAAGTGTTTCGAAAAGCCTAGGTACCGTTTTGTAGAGCGAGGTTAAACTTACGTTTACGGTATGGAGCGAATTATCGATCGCTCTTCATTATTGTAGGATTACGGTACGAATTCCAGCATGTGGAACCATTGTGAAGTGTGCCACCTAACAAAACTTTTTTTCAAAAAATCTGAAAAATCGTGTACAAGGGTTTTCGCACATGCTGATTCCAACTAACAACTTTTTTTACGAGTGTTTTCAGCTTTTTTGACGGTGTGATTACATTTTTGACAAATACTGGGAATTGAGTTATTAGGTTGTAACAAAATTAATGCAGGTTTTGAATTCCAACCGCAATAAGTCGTACACTTCTCATTTCTAAGTAGGTTGCAAGACACCATTCGACAGAGCAAAGCAATCTCTACAAGATGGCAATCTTGCTTTAGCAACAGCTTCGATCTACCACGAGTTTTGAGCCAAAAACTAAAAAGATTCAACTGCCCGAAAAATTGAGAAAAACCGTAACTCAGTTCATAAAAAACCTACAAAAATCCTAACTTGTTCACGTAAACACAATCCACATAGGGCATCTATCTACGCCGTTGGCGTATTTTTTCCTCTGTTGGAAATCAAGAAAACTAAAATTTTCGTGCATTTGCCAAAGTGTTGCTGTGCCGTTCCCACATAAGTAGTTGCATACTACAAAGCTGTAAAAATACAAACATGTTAACGTATCATGTAAACGGTTTTTCAGTTCTCTACAAGCTTTAGTTCTCGAGAAATTTGGATTTTAGCTTGAATCACATTAGCGAAAACTGTATTCGGTATTTTTCGAGGAGAACTAAAGCTTGTATAGAGCTGGAAATTCACGTTTATACTTCTACAGGTCTGTAGTATACAACTACTTATGTGGGAACGGAACAGCATCACTTTGGCAAACGCACCAAAATTTTAGTTCTCTTGATTTCCAACAGAGAAAAAAAAATGCGGCAAAGACGTATATAGATGTCTTATGTGAATAGTGTTTACGTGAGCAAATTAGAATTTTTGTATGTTTTTTATGAACTGGGTTACGATTTTTTTCAATTTTTCGGACAGTTGAATCTTTTTAGTTTTTGGCTCGAAACTCGTGGTGGATCAGAGTTGTTGCTAAAGCAAGACTGCCATCTTGTAGAAATTGCTTTGTTTTATCGAATGGTGTTTTGCAACCTACTTAGAAATGAGAAGTGTATGACTTATAGCGGTTGCAATTCAAAACCTGCATTAATTCTGTTACAACCTAATACTACGATTTAGCGGGGATGACTTAGGAAAGAAGATTCAAAATTAAATGGGAATTTCAAATTCGAAATCAGCGGCTCCCATTACCGTATTATGAGAGTTTTTGGCTTGTTTGGTTGTGTTCCGAAGCAGAATATAGCCTCCAATGGCGTAAAATCCTTGTCGAAGTTCGTACCGTAATTCTACAGTAATGAAGAGTAGATTATTCCCTGTATACTGTGATTCTAGATTTAACTTCGCTCTACCAAATGTTACCTAAAGCTTCTCGAAACACTTCATTACGAAGAGAGTTATTTACAATCAAACAGTAGGTACATTTTTTGGGACACCCTGTATTATTGACAGGGTCGAGCATAACCGGGTTTGGTAGATCAATCGTAAAGATCTGATCTTGCTCTTCATAGAGAAATTATCATTTGATTGCAAGCTACTTTATTTCGACTTCTCAGCTTCGAAAAATGAATCCTCAAAAGACAAGTAAAAACATTTCCGGCACACACTTTTTTTAAGGGCATCATTTTTGCATAGGGTTTTGGTAATGGTAAACGTCAATATAGAACCAGCAAAGATTGGATTGTCACAAAAGACCAAGGGTTGAGCTGGGGATCCCCTGAAGAGCTTTTGTGGGACACCAAAACGTTTTGCATGAAAACAAGGCAATAAGGTTATGGTCGACCAGTGGCGTACCGAGGGGGGGGGGGCGGGGGGGGGGCGCGCGCCCCCCCCCCCCGAGAGTGGGTCGCGAAATTTTTGAAAGTTACTTATATGGGTTATAAAAATGTGTAAGTGACTTGTTTGTTTTTGTAAATAATTAAAATGATTTTTAAAAATTTTTAAAAATTCAAATTAGCCTTGTAAAAAAATTTTTTTCGGGGGCGTGGCTGACGCCACGCCCCCTTTTTCTAGATTTTAGGGGTCGGGGACCCGAAAAAATTTTGGGAAGCACCCCCAAAATTTTTTCGGAGTGCGTGGCTAACGCCACGCACCTTCTTTAGAAAAAAATTTTTGTCGCGCCCCCCCCCCCGAGCCGAAATCCTGGGTACGCCACTGTGGTCGACCATACTGTACCGTCAGTCAAACTGCATCGTCTGCAGCGGAGACATATGGCAGAAAAGCTACAGCAGTAGATCGATCCCGTGAGTTCCGCATGACAAAGTGTGACCCCTACAGTGACGTTGTAAAATCCTTCATGCAAGGCATGACTGAGAGCTGTTTCAGTACTCAAGGACTCCTCTAAATCTCGTTATATCAAACCATCACTCGTCATTTTCCCTCGCAATCCATATGAGCGGTGCCTCTGTTGATTTTGACTGGAATTTGAGTGCTTCAATGACTTTTTTGGGACCAGACCCGCGGACTTTTAAAAGAAGAATTGGTTTGACGATAAATTGACAAAAGGCTGGCAAATCCCTAGCATACAGCACTGATTGAAATTTGATTCATTTGTTGCTTTTATTGATCTATTATTTCTACGAGCTTATGAAACGACCATTGCTGCTGTCCGACTCTGATCTGAGAAGATGAAGATTTATTGGGAGATTGAGGGCTGACTTTGCCAGGAGCAGCAAAGAGTAGTGAGGAATGGATGTAAAAGATTTAAGCTCCGAAAAACACAGCAGTATAATTTCGGCCAGTAAGTTTGCGTCTCTAGCGAGCTTTACATTTAGATCAATGCTACATAGTTCTTTTCGCCTTCCACGTCCATGTCTCATTGTTTGATTTTCATTTACCACAGAAAATGCACGCCTCTGCTTGAGTGCAAAGAATATCTCGTACTTATTTTTCACTAGGCGCATTTGGAGAACGTATCAAGTTTGTTTTACCACACTAGATGAGCAAGCAATGGAACTTAAGGCAACTGTTTTGTAATCAATAAACACATCGTTTATACGATTCGAGCAAAGAATATTCCAATCAGCATATTTTGAAATGTGCTTGTTGGATTTATCAAAAAAGTCATATTTCTGAACCAGTCGCTGACAACATTATCCCACTGTCTAGAGTGAGCTGCCGAAATCAAATCTTGAAACCCATAAAATGCGTCAAAAGGTCTGCGAAACATCAGTGGTAGACATTACGTTGCTGTGACGCTTTTTGAAATTGAAATAGCTGATTATCTCTTTGTGTGTCCGTTTGTATGTCTGTATGTCTGTACGTACTCAGGACTGGGAGCGGACGAGCGGCTGCCCTGAAAGGCCTTTCCAGCCGTTTACTTCCTAATCTAAGGGTATGACTAGCTTGTGCACTTGGAGCGGACGAGCCGCGACCTTATTTTACTACACCGGGGAACTTCCTGCTGAATTTTCGCAGCTCCCGCGGACCGGCCGGAGATATCGCTGTAGTAAATTGAAGGCCTCGGTTCAGCCGCTGTGTGATGCGGCCCACCCGAAGTCCTTGATACTTTGAGCGAGCCGCAGTATTAACTCATGCTGCAACCGATCCAAGCCCCTTAATTTACTGTAGCGGTCCATCCTCCGGCTGGCTCGCGGACGCTACAAAAATCCAGCCGCAACGGCATTTTAATCCCGCGGCTCGTCCGCATTAAATGTCAGATAAGTTGCGACCGGATGGCTGCCTCGTTTGAAACTGTGTTCCAAGTGCGTCCAAGTTGTGGCCGCTGAATCGCAGCAGGGGCCGATTCGCAGCTTGCAGTATCTATTCGACCCGCGGCACCCTCGCTCTGCGTCTCTGACTAGCGACGTGAAAGGTAACACGTTAGCCATGATCTCGCAACGATTATTTGACAAAACTCTTTTTTCAATAAGAACTTCGGTGCGGTTGGGTTCTCCACTGTGACGGTCTACATGGTTGGAATCGCCTTATCCGAGGCAGCTCCGGCATCCATGGCGAGTCAAGGATAGCATGAATAGTATGCTATCAGCGCAGATTGAAAAAACAAATCTGGATTAATATATTGGCACTGCGTCACTTTATACCTTTACTAAATCCTATAAAGAGCTTTCACTGAAAAAAGTTCTGTCCACCTTATCTCTTACTTTTAAGTTATTTTCCATCACTCTTATGCTTGTATGTCTTTCATTAACCTATAATTTACGACGTGTTTTGTCCTAGAAGCAGCAACGTCACCGCTCGAGTCAGGCCAGGCAGGAGGAATGTGAAAGCAAGGTTAGCGAACAAAGCACATTTTGGGAGTGTACTCACAAACCTCCCGCATTCTATCGAGCGCCGTTGATAGCAGAGCTAATGCCGCCTTTTACGACTCATCCGCGGAATGATCCATATGGACAAAGCTGCCAGATTACGGTGAAGAAGAAATTCAACACATTCAATCAAGCTGCCTGTGATGTGAGTACTAACTTATAAACTTTTGAAACACATGAAATTGGACAACTTGGCCTTTTAATCTCTACAAATGCCGTGCGGCTTTAACAATGATCAACACCCGCCTTCTCCTGTTGTTCCACATACTGATTCGCTTTTCTCTCCTCTATTCCTCATCCTGCTGTAATCCGCAGATATTTTTGTAACCTTGTATGTAGGTGTTGTTTGTAGGAGCTTAGACGATCAATAATTTTCGATGGAACTGATAATATGGAGGTTCTCGTGGAAGAGATGGGACTAAATGCCGAAAGCAAGAAGGTGAAAACGCTGTTTTGTTTTCACAGGCACCAACATGAAGTTTGACGATGACATCATAAGGACGCAGTTCAAAAAGAGTGCTCGCACAGTGAAAAGAAAAAGCATAGCGCCAATCATGAAAGCTAGCCTAAAGTAGAAGTGGAGAATTGCACAAAATCTTGGGGAATATTGTCCGTACTCATTAGTACTACACTAGTACTCGTGACATCATATTGATATAGTTAGTGGAACTCTTCAAGCATTCTTGGATTGAAGAAACCTATCAAATCTACCATTCTGCAAATAGTCAACCACTGCAGACGCCCTTTGGGCGGTATTTCTGATACTGATGTTTTGCTGGTCATGGCCGCACAATATATGCCTACCGGAGAAAAAAGCCAGTTGTGAGTTGTTTCATTTCATCAGTAACTGCTTGCAATATTTTGTTCGAGTCCATGAATGTGCTACGGTATCATGGCAAGGCGATGTATTGAATATCATGGGAATTGTTGTTGTCAACCAGTTAGTGAGTCGATAAAAACAACTATTTATCTTATTCATTGTTTTAAGATTAATTTGCGCGAAGATAAACATAGATTGAAGAAGTCCATCAAGGAGAAGGAGGAAAAGACCAAGCAAAGCATGGAACTGGACGCGACGGTGCCAGGAGTACCGTCGAACGGGGCTACCCCCGCACCTGCGGATGCTTACTGGGCCACAACATCTGGCTACAGCATCCGGGGCTGGTGTCCTTCACACTTTGCCACAGTTCGCCAGTGCACTCCTGGCGCCGAATCATCCAGTCCCATCTGCCTCCTCCTATCATTTAGTACATAGTAAATAAAATCCATTCAAGAATTTCGCTATAATTCATATCTGTATATTTTTCGCTATCTTGTATCATGAAGATCTCGGTAGATAAATCGTGAGTTGTTTAATGTAATGAGCGTGCGTGGAGACGATTCAGCGAGACGTCAAGCACAAGTCCTTCGAAGACGACTTCTTCTTCTCCCTCTTCACCTCCAAAACCTCAGAGTGCGACATTCTGGAGGACACCATCCTGTCCTAAACATTTGAATTTTTGAGGTCTATGCGCTTGATTTTCTGCACTATTAACAACGACGAGGAGAGAAAGGGACTTTCACAGTTAAGACAAAAGCGATTTCAATGGAGTCCACATCTATACCACCTAAAATTTTGTACGTGATAATATAAAGTTAATTCGTTCCAAGACACTTTATTTTTTAGAAGGAATGTGCGAGCATCGAAATATGAGAAGAATGCAATTTCGCGGGCACCGAGTAATGTGATTCCATACATATAAAAGTTGGCTGCTTCAGCATTAACCGAATATTTCACAGGCAGGATAGAAAGGCTTTGGAAGTGCCTGAGGAACATGGAAACTATAGACGAACATATAACATATATACTTGAGAATCGCGGGATAAAAGAACAGCGTCACCGTCTCAGAATCACATGAGCTTCGAAAACCTTCACTTCAACGTGACTTTCAAGAAGTTTATATATGTACATTTTTGCAGGAAGAAGTCATAATGAAGTAATTGTGTCTGTACTAATGTCTTTACGAGCAACAGCCGGCGTCCCACTATGGCCGAGCCGATTGTCTATTTACGGCCGGCCTACGGGAGCTGCGAATGCCCGGTCGAGACTGGGCTAAGCGTCGCCCGCCCCAATCACTGAGTACTTCCCGAAAAAAGTTGCATTTCTGAACTAAACTTTGCACACACACACACACTTTGAGACTGATAGGCTGTCACAGGGTACTTTTCGTTAACGATCGATATCGATTTCACCGATATAGCGAACTGAACTAGGTGGGAGATGGCATAGAGGGAGGGATAAGTGATCATGCTGATTAAAAATAAAGCATTACTTCCAGAATTCTCGATAATCTTTATCAATCTTATCGATTTTGCAAACTTTGAGCTATAGGGCTAGGAGGCACATTAGAGTACAGTCAGCCCGAATGGGATCAGATTGACCCGTTGGCTAAATTTGCGCGCACGCTACGCCACTACCTTGCGCTGCATACGCGCACTGTCCGAGGGAGTGAATGGTTGAGAGGGCAGGCAAATAGGCCGTAGGCGTGACCAAAACCCTTGCGAAGCGGACTTCCGCCATGCCATTTTTGACCTGATTGGGATTGGGTCAGACTGTAAGTGAGCATGCTGAGTACGAATACATTACTAGTTTCCAAATCATTACCTCTGTCGATCTTTTCGATTTTTTTGCAAAATTTGAGCTACGGGGCTTATAGTTGACACGGGAGTAAGTAGGCAAACTGACTACGAATGTAATTTAGTTTTCATACCCACTAAATTTATTTGATTAGTCGGCTTCTTGCAAATTTTGACCTACGGGCTAGGAGTTGGTGCAGGGTTTAAGTAAGCTTGCTGATCACGAAAACATAGTGGAGGCGGAGTTCATATAGAAGTGCTATCGAGACAAAAGATTTTGTGCAAACTACTGCATGCTATCATACTCTATTGACAAGATTGTGCGGCCAATGCCAGATAGTGAGTAATGATAGATAGAACTTTTTTCCGGCCACAGAAGCTTGTCATATTACCAGCGAATTTTGATAAGAGTGACCTTAATTGTCAAAAAGTACGCCATCCAGCACCAGTGGAATAGCAACACATCGGGAGTTGCTTGTACGCGTCGTAGGCGGAAGTATGCCTATTTGGCTCCAATATTGAGCCGAGGTGGGGCCACATGTAGAAAGTTTTGTTTCTAGTCTTATAGTTTAGTTTCTAGTCTGCTTCTTATATTTGCATTAGCACCCCCACGAGGATATATATGCTCCGCGGATCTTGGAAGAAACACCATGCACATTGATTTCTGAGAAGAAAAATATAAATAATCTCATGTCAAACCTTCAGGTTAGGGTATATTTTTTCAACGTTAATCGATAAGGGATAACATGTTATACACCACATAGTGTTGCTTCTTTTGCTCACTTGACAAGAACGCAAGGAGAACAATAGTGTCTGCTCTGCATCAGCATAGCCATTTTCTTTGACCAGCCTAGCGCAAAGACAAATATCATGAGCACAGTAGCGTACCGAGGGGGGGAGCGGGTGCCCCCCCCCCATGGGTCGCGTAATACTTGGAAGTTACTTGAATGTGTTACAAAAATGTGCAGAGGACTTGTTTGTGCTTGTAAATAATTAAAATAATTTTTTAAATTTTTCAAAAAATCAAATTAGCCTTGTGAAAAAATTTTTTCGGAGGCGTCGCTAACGCCACGCCCCTTGATCCGAAAAAAAATTTTTGTCGCCCCCCCCCCCCCGAACGAAAATCCTGGGTACGCCACTGCATGAGCATGACTCCAAATTTAATTTTACGTTCATGAAACTAAGGTGAAGATTTTTTGCACCACTTAGGTGTTTATCATTATAGCACGCACGGAGCACTTGTTGGATACATGTCAGCAAACTATAAGGAGATTCACCAAATCTGTGTTAAGAGCTAGTGTAAGCTTTTCGACTTCACACTTTTTTTTGAGTCATGCAGTCACTTAGGTGTGACTGTTTCGCATTCAAATATGAAAACTCGAATTACATATTCATAACATTGATGCTCTTATATCAAATCAAAAAAGAAGCACGCTAGGAAGGGACGAGGTACCTGCTTTACCTATGTCACTGCAGCAACGGCGCTCCTTCCACCTTCTTAAGCATTAACACGTCCCTTCTTAACATCATTAACCTCAATATGAGCTCTCTCGAAGTAACTTGGAGACAACGATTTGCAATTTGCACAAGTTTTGTTTTTTGAAATGATTTGCGTCATTACTGGAAGTTTTTACAACTGAAACTGACAACAGCGTGGAAATCAAAGCTCAGGCATACGCTTTATTCTTCATCTATTTCAAAACCAATAAAACGGTGGTGTTGTAAGCGAGTAAAGTTTATATAACGTGATGTGTCTTAGGACGAAAAACCTGTCTTATGAGAATTTAGAGTACATAAATATGAACTTCAAACGAATTTCTTTTCTAGGTGGGACCAATGGTACAGTTTTTTCATTTTCCATGCTCGACCATCCTGGAATCTTGGCATTTTATGTTCAGTATAGGTTAGTTCTCAGTGAGTTAGCAAGCGTTCCAAGATTGTTATCCATTTATCAATGCAGTAAACAGGACGACGTTTCGGCAGGGTCGCCTTTTTCAAGACCTGGAAAGTGAGTCAGTAAATTCGACGCTTCAAGGGTAGACATACCTTCAGCGATACACTTCAAGTGGCTGTCCACCACTCTGACACTTAGTCAGGCCACTATATGCTAACTCTTCTGATGGATGGAATGAGGTTCCCTAGGGTCAGACTCAAATCCACACAATGATAAGAATGGGATGAGCTCACTACTGATAGCCATTTTCTCTTCCTTTCTGTTCAGTTTGGGACATTTGGACGTGATCCAACAAGCCTCTATGGTCTTTCGTGCTGCAATGTCGGTTTCTTTCGAAAGGATAGCAACGTTAATTTGAAACTCTATGTCCTGATGGCAAAGCACACGATGTGCGCCAAGAGGCGTGGAAACTCGCGATTTTCTCAGTCCGTCCAAATTTGTTAATTCTTAATACAGCGGTCTTCCTGTTTCTCCAATATATTCTTCCCCACACAGTTTACAAGATATCAAGTACACAGCGCCACGACACATGCAATCTCCCGGTTTGTTAGAATTGCATATATTACAGTCTGTTTTTGAACAGGCTGGATCGTAACCTCTGTTACGCACCAGGCGCTGCTTGAGGTTTGGGGGTGGGACTTCGACAACTCTAAGCATATTTTGCAGGCCGGCTTTATGAACGCAGTTTCTAATCGCAGCGCTTAACTTATCCGATATGAATGGCATAAGGAATGACACCTTTTCGCAACTGACATCATTGAAAACTGTAGCATTATGCTTGTGACGAACGTTTGTGTTTTCGTTTTTCGACAGCAAGTAACCGTTTGCGTGTGCAATTTGGATAGCCTGTTTGGTCGATGTGGATTCTAGAGTGCTATTTGAAGACACTCTTTTTGACGTTCGCAGCATGTTTCTGATAATGCTAAGTTTCATTTGAATTGGGTGTGCAGAGGAGTAATGTACAAGTATGTTCTTATTGGTTGGTTTTCTATACCAGCGTGTTCTGTACTCTCCTCTGCATAAGCAGATCTGGACATTGAGGAATGGCAACCATCCCTGCTTAGGCGTTTCCCTTGTGATTTTGATGTTAGTTGATTGAGCATTGAGTATGTCAAAGCATAGATCCATTTCCGCTTGTGTTGGACACACGATGATAGTATCATCAATGTATCTGTAGTAAAGAACATCGGCGGTTGAGAATTGGTTCTTCTATCTTTGACATAAAGCTATTGCTACAATAGGTGCCAAACGCTGGCCCATTGCGAGTCCCCTAGTTTGTTTATAATACTGTCCCGCCCATTTGAAAACCGAACATTCTAAACATTCTCTCAACAATGCCATAACTTGCTGTATGCTAAAGCCATAGAAATTGATACTGTTACTCTTTTCGGACAGTAATTCGAAAACGGCTTCTAACGCATTGGAATTCGAGACATTTGTAAATAGAGAGGTGACGTCAAAGGATTCTATGACGTCATTTTCACTGAATCACGCAGTTTTCAAATGGTTAAGAAAGGCATTCGTAATGGACAAGTGTGTGGGCACATGTTTTAGTAATTGTGTCAATATCAGATTGAGTAACCAGGATATCCTGTGTGTCGGACCACCGACGTTACTGATGGTAGGGCGAACTCTGTAGTCCCAAGGATTTTCTGAATTGAGTAGGTCGGATGGTAATTTGTGTG